CAAGCCCTCAAAAATTTCCTAAACCACAGACGTTATTGTGTCGAACGAACAGATTTATCTATTTCACCCCAATGATGTTGAACTTCGAAGGACGTTATTATTTTGTGAAATAATTGGATTTTGAATTACGAGTTCAATAAAAATGACTCGAAATAGAGCCGGGTATATCAGAAAATAATAATAAAACATCTGTTAAATCGGATGCGCGGTCTTAAAAAGTAGGTCACTTCATTCGTTTTTCCCTGCTCTTTTGAAATATTGAAACAGATCTAAAAAATTTTGCCATACAGAGTGTTGTTTTTGATATAAAAGAAGTTTTCTGTTTTTCCTCAAGACGAACCTGGATTCTGATCCCGATTTTCATTTAGTTTTGATGGGTGATATAAGTGAAATAGTTCTACCAAGTATGGATAGATTATACAAAGTGGTTCAAAAGCTATGACCAGATGATGATTTTGCCAATTCTTCAAGATATCGTCCTGTATCTCAGTTATAAAAAACGGTAGACACATCAAATGGGGGTGATTTCGAACCATCACAGCTTCCCCTACCTACAGGTATCGTATGTACATTTAAATCTGAAACACCCTGTATTTCAATTTTTTTGTGTTCATAAATATATCTGAGAATGTTCATTTCAAATACCTAGTAAATTATTTCAACTCTTCTAATTGTTTTTTTACATAAACTTAGTCGTCTGATCTCTCGAATTTTTCCTCTTACTTTCATTTTGAATATAACAAATCTTTGCCATTTTCAATCTCTCAACTATTTTTTCTCGATAGATATTGGTACTTAACAAAAAATTCGAACAGTGTGACCATGATAAGGTTGCGCACGAGGTTGCGCAGCATGAGGGTCTCGCGAGGGATCTCGGAAACGGTAAGAGATACGAATTCGGTTAAATGAGAAAAAAATTACGCATTCCAAGGGTCATACCTGGTCATACCAATGGATTTCGAAAATTTACAAAATTGTTTATAATTCACCATGGTTGAACTCAGAATAAAAAAACTTTCGAAATCTGTGAACAGATAATCAGGGCCGTATTTGAAAAAAAAGTTGTTGATTTCTCCGAGGATTTCTCTACGAATAGGAAACGTCGCGTGGAGAAATCAATATCACCACGTTAAATCTCATCAAGAGATGCCATGTAAAAGTATTTTTAGAGTTTTCTATATATCTAATAATAACGTAGAAAAACAAATAGATATTCCAAAAATTCACTTTCTTTATACAAGGTGTTTCTTAAGTACGTGTAGAAAATCCAGGAGCATGTTGCCAACGTCAAAATAAGAAGAAAAGTTCGTATAAATATATGTCCGAAAGTTATTCGTTTCTGAGACAGAGTGTCAAAGTTGAATTCTTATTTTTGTTTTTTGGTTATAAATTTCAAAATAATTGTGACATTCAAATGAATTTTGGTATTTCGGGGTATTTTTCGATGACAATATCAAATTTTATGTTAGTTCATCTCTTTCGTGAGGGTGGCGGCACCTACATGTCTTTTGAGTCTTTTGAAAAGTCACAACTTTTTTGTGCGTACCTGTATCACGTTCTATAGTAGGAAAATAGTTTTCTAGAACACGTTCGTGTAAAAAACATATTCTTGGTAAAGGTCGCTGCGAGCAACAGTTTTCGAGTTATTGGGATTTGAAATAATCAATGCAAGTAATTTGCTGGAATGACGAAGAAGTAGGAATTCAAAATTGATTTATCAAGTAGGTAACGAAAATTATTTTTTTTTATTCCATTTTAAAATAGGAATCGGGTGTAATTATAATACAATACTGATAATAATAACTGTAATTAAGACCAAATAAATACTAAAACAGTTATAGTTGAGGGAATTGATTAAAGTAATTGTTCAAAATGGCCAAAAAAATAGATACAAAGAAGTAAGAATCATCATTTGGCTACATTCCAATGTTGAATTGTTGAATGGAGGAGAATATTGAATGAAAGAAGAAAAATGCACTGACGTATCTTTTCTAACTGCTAAGAGTCGACTTACGAACCCAATGGAAATAATTCAAATGCATCGATTGTTTCAAATCCCAATATCTCGAAAACAGTTGCTCGCATCGACATCTACCAAGAATATACTTTTTATACAAAAGTGTCCTCGAAATCTATTTTCTTACTATAAAACGTGATACAGGTACGAACAGAAAAGTTATGACTTTTCAAAAATTCAAAAGACATGTAGGTGGCGCCACCCCCACGAAAGAGACAAACTAACAGAAAATTTGATATTGTCATTGAAAAATACCCCTAGATACCAAACTTCATTCGATTATCACAATTATTTTGGAATTTATTTACGAAAAACAAAAATAAGAATTCAACTTTGACACTCTGTATCTCACAAACGAATAACTTTCGGACATATATTTATACGAACTTTTCTTCTTATTTTGACTTCAGCAACATGTTCCTGAATTTTCTACACGTACTTTAGGAACACCCTGTATAACTGTAAAACTAAAAACAAAATTTTCCAAAGCCGTTGGTATGATCATCAAAATGCGCAACTTGTTTCCCATTTAACCGAATCCGTTTCTTTTCCTGTTCCCGAGATCCCTATATTACCTTATCTTAGATTCACTATATTTTCAACTGTTTCATCTGAAATGAATTGGGAAAATCGACTAATGGTATTCTTCGTGAACAAAAGTGAAACACTTGTCGTAAACACAATTCTTGAAAAACTGGGCAAATTAAAGAGTTCCGAACGATATCTCATGAAGACTTCAATGAGCTATTAAAATAATTATCATTCAAATCGGCAAAAGAATTTTGTTCATAACATTGAGATGAAAAACCAGATTTTTCTTCGATGTGTACCGGAACTTTTTTGCAAAATCTGTAAATGGTATACCTACTAATTTTTTATTTAAATAGGAAGAAACCTGTATAGGCTTCTGTCACTTGAATTCAGAAACACCCAGTAGTGTTAATGATACTTATCCGAGTACTTATCACTAATCCCTACATGTTTTTTCATTGCCCAAGTTTCGTCCTTGGGTTTGAATTCAACCTACCTATCGATTGACTTTTTTTGCATTTCACGAATGGAACTCATTCGTAATCTACCTATTTTTACGCAAAATTTTGAAAACTCCTTGGGATGTATGATAAATCTTTAGGAAATTCCGGAATTCCTTGGGAAGTCCGGGTAGTCTCCGGGAATTCCTCAGGTAGTCCCAGGAATTCCAGGTAGTCTTTGGGAATTCCTAGGAATTCCTTGGGAAGTCCCAGGAATTCCGGGTAGTCTTTAGGTAGTCCCAGGAATTCCGGGTAGTCTTTGGGAATTCCTAGGAATTCCTTGGGAAGTCCCAGGAATTCCGGGTAGTCTTTAGGTAGTCCCAGGAATTCCGGGTAGTCTTTGGGAATTCCTAGGAATTCCTTGGGTAGTCCCAGGAATTCCGGGAATTCTTTCAATAAAGGAAGTCTAGTGTACCCAATTTCAGCCCGTGATTTACCCCTCGCATTTCCACATCTCCACATACTGGAATATCATTTGCTGTTTAATTCTGTTTTTAACATTCACAATTTGTCAAATTGAGGCGACGTGCAACACTTGATGAACGCACAGTAAATGCTAGCATTGCTATATGGTATAACACGGTATAACATAATTTATCCGATTTTTTAATCCACTACAGTCTACAGTGGAATTGTCGATAAAATCGTACGAAAAAGTAACTCTACTGCACTAGTGCTGGAATAGTTACTTTTCCGCACGATTTCATGTTGTTGAAAATTATGATATTTAGGACTAACTGTCTCATTTTGTAGCATTATTATGAAATCTTGTTCATTTAAAACTTTTTTTTATACATAATATGGACAAAAACGCTCGTAGGAAAAACATGGTACCTAACTCTTGCGGAAATAGTTATTTGCCTAACAAGTGCGCAAAATGTTACTTTCCCCCACGTAAAAACATGCAGTTAGACGAACGACGCGAAGCGGAAAAGGCACTTTGCCTACGTGTTAGGAACAACATTTTTCCTACGTGCTTCATATCATATAACAACGACAATAAAAAATGCACCGGCCAACCCAAGTGCCTCTTCCATAAATCTGGAAACTTTACTTTTGTAAAACTGTTTCGGTCGGTATCCCACATTTTGCTTCTTTAAAAACGATGTTAGCTCGAAATATTGACTCAAATTCAAATTTATTTAACCTTTAAGAACAGGTAGGTTCTTACTCCATAAAGTATTTGCCTGATATGTTTTTGTAAAATCTTCAAAATAGACTAGGAACACTTCCTCCTCGATCTCATATTTTGTTCATTTGTTGAGATTTAGTGGGCAGTAATTTAAAACTTTCACAGTTGCAGTCTCTAATACAATGAAATCTGCTCGTCAGAACTTCTCAATTTATTATACTTTTTTTCAGTGTTCGTAGATTCTTAATGACAGAAACGGAGAAAAAATCCGACATCATGTCAAAGTTGACAAGTGCACTTATTGTTGTTTGACTATATTATTTATCATTATATATACAAGGTACTTAAATTTTTATGTCTGTTTGAAGCTGAAATACATACAATTATCGGGATATACAGTTGAGAGGTGAAGAGGAATACACTTGCAACGGCTTCTCATATTGCATAAAATAGTCTACAGCAACTAATATGACATGACTTTGAATTTTCCATAATAGTGAGGTTTTTGAGTAGTTTCACTTTTTTGCACTCAGTGCGGAAAAGTGTGACTTTGCGCACGCAAATGTGTGCCAAAAAGTATTACTTTGCGCACGAGCGTAGGAAAATGTATTTTTCCACCCTTGCAACTCGTGCAACTGCCGTCGTGTGGTCCTAGTGGTCCTACGCACACATGTTTTTTTTATTTTTATTTTATAGTGATCTGTAGGTATAAACCATGATTGTTATACTCCTCAAGCGATCCTTAAATTACCTTATTCATTATTTTATTTTAATTGCGGTAGATATAAACAGATAAACACACTTTATAGTTTATACGTACTTGCACTATTATTAATGACTATATATATATTTCAGCGAGAGTAATGAAGAACTTCGTTAATTCGTGGCAATCGTGGCACTCCGGCACTCCGAAACATCTCAAATGAAAAATCTGAAACTGACCGGCGAGCGGAATGTCAGGAATTTAATAAAAAATGACCTGGCAACGCCGCATCAGTTGATATGTGGTATTCAACATGGCTGTGTAGTTAGTGTTGTGTGTGCCAGTTATTACGGATTGAATGGATTAAATCGAGAATTATGCCAAGAAAACGAAATGGTGAAATTCCTTTACCCGATGGATGGGATTTCGGCAGAGACTTCGATGGAAAAGTGTATTTCATCGATCACATAACGAAGAAAACCTCTTGGATTGACCCCAGAGACAGGTAGGATTGAGAGCATTCCTCACTATCTCTTTGCTGTTAAAAAGTTGAATGACATCTTGGGGATTAAAATCCTCAGGATTATCTGTCGATATGGTTTCGAAGTGCGAGAATATGTAACAGATATCCTAGTTACATTTTGTTAGTACGAACCTAGTTACGAATTTGAAATAGTGGATCTACAACTATTATTTGATAGGTAGGTAATTAACATTCCATTCCTATCTAGGCATTGCCACTCCGAACATAAGATGAATATTTATTGCAAATTTCAAGGGGAAAAGCAGATGAACTGTTTATACCCCAGTAGTTAATTTGTCCTTAACCTACAGTGACCTGATTGACTTCATATTGAAGTGAAACATTTCTCTGTTGCCATTAAAAACATTGGATTAATCTTGGACCAGAAATTTCATATTCAAAAACATCACTGTGGTCAGTGGTGCTGCCACCTCGCGGAAAATATGTGTAAATGATAAAGATAAATATTAGATTGTTGTGTCTAAAAATATTTACAATATTTCCGTGAATACGTTTTGCGTCACCAATGGAATGCGAATTAAGAATCTTATTAATTTTCAGATGTGTTATCTTTTTGATAAGTAATTTGATACGTATGCACTATGCACCCTAGAATATGTCGGTATCAGTAGGTAATCAAGTCTAAGGTTCCTATTATCATTGATTATTTATACTATAACCACGTGCCTATTTGAAATAAGTATCTGAGTACTTGTAGGTACTTGTAGCTCGACTTTTCGACTAGGTACTCGACTAGAAAAAAAAACTCCGGTACCTACCTAAATATCACTAAATATTATCTTATATTTTCAACTGAATAGTGAATAGGTAGGTAAGTATAGATACTTTTTCCCAAAAGCAGTAAAGCAGATAATCCTCAACATCACCCTTCATGCATCATGGAGCCTTCATATTGTTTTCCTACAAGTGTGCGAAAAAGTAACATTTCCGCACGATTTTTGTTTTGAAAGTTCTACTTTTTTGAACCATTTTACTTTTCCGCACGATGAATCGATAAAATCGTACGGTATCGTAAGTATATTGTGCAACGAGCAGGGAAAGTTCAACTTTTCTCACTAGTGTGAAAGTTTGTGGCACTAGCCCGAAGGGCGAGTGATGAAAACACACTTATCCAAAGAATCCCAGTAATGTAACTCATTGGAATTCATTTTATAATGTGGCACTATGACATATTGAATATTGTGACCAACGAGTATACGCCTTTCCGAGTTCCTCAAAGTATTTAAAAAAAGTACACTTTCCTCACACTTTCCGAAAAAGATTTCATCTCTCTTTTTGCTTCAAATTTCCGGAAACAAATCCAATTTTCTCAGCTTTTTCCATTATCTCTGTCTCTGGCGGTGTATTTATCAAAATCGTCACATCTTGGTATATATATTATATTATTTATTATGAATTGTTGGAATAATATTTGATGGAAACTGCGATTTATATCAAAAGCACTAATGAGAACTACCCTAAAGAATTTAAAAAACTTCTTCTGACAGTTGTGACAACTATTCAAAGCTTATTAAGTTTTGGTCGATTTTTGTTGATTCTCCATGGAAATGTATGTGGTGTTAGCAAAGTGCCGTGAGAAAAAATATTTCTCACAGCATGAGCAATACATGGTTTTGATACTAACTATGAGAAATGCGCTACTTTTCATAGCAGTAGTAGAAAAAGTTACTTTACCGCACTGGTGTAAACTGAACTAGCTAAATGATATACAGGGTATGTCACGACGAGCTTACACTATCTCTATATCAAGAATCAGTCGGGAGAAATCCATGATGATATGCATGCTTATATGTATTTTAGAATACGCTCTCTTCATCAAAGATATTTTCAGCAATGCAGTGTTGCCGCTTCTCCTAGAAAGTAGTAGCAAAACTGATATTTCAAATGGGACACCCTGTATTTCATCGCATTTTTAGATTCTCCCTGAAGAGCTGATTCCATTGATTCATCACACTTGGGGTCTATCGAAAAAAATTACAGAGATATAGGGAGTTCAAAATCGAGATTTCTCAACTTTAGGATTTGTTTGTGTCGAAACTATTCATTATCGGGCAAAACGGCTCACATGTCCCTATCTCAACTTTCGATTCACTATTTACTGATATTTAATCGGAACAGATACAGGGTGGTTCAAGATTCAGAATTCTGACCAGACGATCACGTGACTGCCGCAGACTGCCATCTCGCCATATTTCTCAATAAGTTTTTTTTTGTTTCTGTTATCTGCTTACTTGAATTGCAAAATAAATAAGAATGTGTTAATAGCTCAAATAACCACAAGCTCTGAAACGAGGTTTTCAGTTATATATGCCAAAAAAATTCCACACTCCCCAGACCTATTGGAAGGGGGAGTAATTCAGAGCTTTGGCCTAGGGCGTGAATAGCTGCTAATCCGGGCCTGCCTTTCCGCCCTTGACGGCTTGCCCTAACTCCGCAAAAAGAACTACTTTCCGCACTTGCTAGGTAAATAACTCTTGTAGGTATGCTGTAATGAATGCGCATATGATTGAATATCTACCTACCTCCCCAAATATACAAATAAAATCGATTTAACATTTTGTTAATCTTTTGGAGCGCACGAAAAGGAATCCCGATTCATTTCATGTCATTTCCATTCATTCGCCTTTATCACTTTGCACAAAACACGTTTTTTCAGTGTATCAGTTTTGTCCTCAGATTTATCCAATCGAAGTGTAGCAAGTGGAAAAAATAAGTAGAAAGAATTTATCTGAACTTCAGAATTTATTTGCACTAAAGGGTACAATGAGATAAATTGTGAAATATCAACAGAATTTAAAATCGATATATCACCAGATATTATATCATTGAATGCGTATAGGTACTGGAGTTATTGATGAGAAACAGCGTCAAACTTCGTCTTTCACCTTGTATATCGAACATAGAAGTGTGAAATGAAAATGGCAATATAAAAGTCGAGGTATCCCTTAGGGATTCCGGGAATTCTTTGGGAAGTCTGGGAATTCTTTGGGAAGTCTGGGAATTTTTTGGGAATGGCGGGAATTCCTTGGGAAGTCCAGGAATCCCTTGGGAAGTCCGGGAATTCCTTGGGAAGTCCGGGAATTCCTTAGGAAGTCCGGAAATTCCTTGGGTATAGTCCAGGTAGTCTTTGGGAATTCCGGGTATTCTTTAGGAAGTCCGGGAATTCTTTGGGTTGTCCCAGGAATTCCTTGGGTAGTCCCAGGAATTCCGGGAATTCTTTCAACAAAGGAAATCTAGTGTACCCGAAATTGGCCTGTGATTTACCCCTCGAGTCAAACTTATCCACATAACACGTGATACGTACCCCGAGATGTACCCTTATGAAATAATGTATTTCGATCTTTGAAAGGAGTCCATGGTTACTCAAAGTGGTGTAGTTCATAGATGAAAACCGAGGGGTAAATCACGGGCTGAAATTGGGTACACTAGACTTCCTTCATTGAAAGAATTCCCGGAATTCCTGGGACTACCCAAGGAATTCCTAGGAATTCCCAAAGACTACCCGGAATTCCTGGGACTACCTAAAGACTACCCGGAATTCCTGGGACTTCCCAAGGAATTCCTAGGAATTCCCAAAGACTACCCGGAATTCCTGGGGCTACCTAAAGACTACCCGGAATTCCTGGGACTTCCCAAGGAATTCCTAGGAATTCCCAAAGACTACCTGGAATTCCTGGGACTACCTGAGGAATTCCCAGAGACTACCCGGACTTCCCAAGGAATTCCGGGATTTCCTAAAGATTTATCATACATCCCAAGGAGTATTCAAAATTTTGCGTAAAAATAGGTAGATTACGAATGAGTTCCATTCGTGAAATGCAAAAAAAGTTAATCGATAGGTAGGTTGAATTCAAACCCAAGGACGAAACTTGGGCAATGAAAAAACATGTAGGGATTAGTGATAAGTACTCGGATAAGTATCATTAACACTACTGGGTGTTTCTGAATTCAAGTGACAGAAGCCTATACAGGTTTCTTCCTGTTTAAATAAAAAATTAGTAGGTATGTATACCATTTACAGATTTTGCAAAAAAGTTCCGGTACACATTGAAAAAAAATCTTTTGCCGATTTGAATGAAAATTATTTTAACAGCTCATTGAAGTCTTCTTGAGATATCGTTCGGAACTCTTTAATTTGACCAGTTATTCAAGAATTGTGTTTACGACAAGTGTTTCACTTTTGTTCACGAAGAATACCATTAGTCGATTTTCCCAATTCATTTCAGATGAAACAGTTGAAAATACAGGGTGGGCCACCAGTAACGCCTCGGTCTCTAGAAGGCTAACCACTTATCTTCTTGGAATTCTTCCTTTCTAGGAAGTTGCATGTCAACATAGGCTACCATTTAAAATTATTTCGAAACATACAGGGTGTCCCCAAAAACCATAAAACACTGAAGTTAAACTTTTTTCTATCGAACACCCTATATATTATTTCATTTTGAGATTCTCCCTGGTGAGCTGATTTCAACAATCCATCATACTTGGGGTCTAGCAGTTATAATTACTGAAATATAGGGTGTGAAAAATCGAGATTTTTCAAGTTCAAGAATTTTTTGTGTTGAAACTATTCATAATTGGTCAAAACGGCTTAAATGTCCCTATCTCAACTTTTGTTTAACTATCTACTGATATTTAATTGGGACATATACCGGGTGATCAAGATTCTGAATTCTGCACCACCCTGTATTTGTTTCAATTAAATGTCAGTAGATAGTTAATCAAAAGTTGAGATAGGGACATGTGAGCCGTTTTGACCAATTATGAATGGTTTAGACACAAAAAATTCTTGAACTTGGAAAATCTCGATTTCTCACACCCTATATCTCAGTAATTATAAGTGCTAGACCCCAAGTATGATGGATTGTTGAAATCAGCTCACAAGGGAGAATCTCAAATTGAAATAATATATAGGGTGTTCGATAGAAAAAAGTTCAACTTCAGTGTTTTATGGTTTTTGG